AAGTCCAAGACTATTTAGATTTGTTATGTAAAAAGAACATTTCTGTAACATGTGGCTGACTGTATTAATGAGCGTATTAATGCAGTATTGATATGGTGGTGGTGGCTGCTTGCAAATGAGATGTGAATGAGTGAGATTGGTGAGGCCTATTCTTAGTCTGGTTAAGACAACTTCTCTGCTGATATAGCGATTCGATGAAGACCATAGCTTTACTGTTTTTTTAATATATATCAATTTGCTTGGCGGACTCTCATTCCACATAGATTGGCAGCTATGAATTATTTCTTTTTTGAAGGGAAGATTTATATCTTGCACAATGTATCCGTGTATTTGAAAACATGTGAGTTTTACTAGGAAAAATAAATAAAATGAGCATGATTAAAAGTACTTAATAACAACTTTTAAATATTTAGCTTTAATATTTTTACAGAGTTAATCGATTTTTAGAAAAGTATACGGTAGTTTCGAAACAAGAATATCAGCAAATATATCAGTTTTTCCATTCCAGGCGAGTCGGGGGTACGTGATTTTAAAGGAAAAAACTGTACTGTGTTTACAGCTAACAGTCTTATAATATATTAATATAATATTATAATATAGAATAAGCAGGATGGAGAAGGTCGCAAGGGGAGGAGGTGGACTGCATTGTAGGTCTGTAACGAAAGAGAGTAGGTTGTAGATAGATAGAACATAATTTATTAATTTATCCCGACAATGAATTAAGAACTAATTATATAATAATAATTTTGCCAAGTTGTTTTGAGCCCTTAAGTGTATTATCTATTTTTAAATATAGGATTAAACAACAATAATTTGTTGCATATGACACAGTGAAAAAGAGAAAGAGCCACTTTCCTTAAATGTATTTTATATTTTATGTAAATTGGAAAACCCTATAAGAATTTTGAATCAATCACCAACTTGAGTGCGAAATGCAAAACCCCATGAAAAAAGAGACACAAATATTATTTAAATGTAAATATTATCTAAATTTACCAGAGCATGGGAAATCTTAATAAGGTGGAAATATTTAAGCCAACCTCTATAGAAGATAGGAAAAAATATATTTTTTCATCTCTAATACATCTATTTGTAGAGATTTAGAATGGTAATCTCGAAAAATGTCTTTTGAGTACTTTAGAAAAAAAAAGAATGGATATCGGTATGGATTATTTTAAATATTAAACCGATTGTTTAGGCCTTGTTCCTTTGGTTTTTCTTTGTTTTATTTTCATTTTATTTTAGAACATGATTTAATAATAATATTTAAAAAATAAAATGTAAGACTTAAACAACATATATGACAAGTTATTAAATTATGACCCTTTGCAGATTTATCATTATTTTTTATTTTTATTTATTTATTTATTTATTTTTAGTTATTTATTTTCTTTATCTATTTACTTTATTTCATTTTATTTTTAATTCATTTGGTTATAATTTCAACTCATTTATTGATTTTATTTCTATTTTTTTAAAGTTTATTTATTTATCTATTCTATCTTATTATCTGTAAGTGTCTATTATTATTTTTATTTATTTATTTCATTCCATCAATCCTTTTATTTAATTATTTTTATTCTTATTTTTTTAATCAACCATTCAAATAGTATAAAAGTAGTGTTATTTAATTGATCGGGCGCTGATGACCTGGATGTTTTGCACCTAGACACGAAACAAACAAACAAAAAAATAAAATGTATTTATTGTTTTGTTTTTTACGTTATTCGTGTGTTCTGTTGACCCTTTTATATTTTATATTAATGTTAATAATTGGAATTATTTTAACTGTTAGACTTTTGAATAAATATTAAGGAAGGAGATGGTCCGGGATTGCGGTCATAAATAGGCTAAATAGTGGTAGAAATCAAGTGCAGTTCTAAGTGAAAACTCCTAGATGAACACACCTCCCTGATGAAGACCTGCAAAGTCGGGTCGAAACGTCCGCTTTCAATAAAATATTTTTACCACTATTTAGCCTATTTATGACCGCAACCCCGGACCATCTCCTTTCTTTATAATGCAACGGTCAACTATTAAATATTCAATTTGAATAAGTATAATTTGTAAGTTATCCTTAAGATTTTTATACTGTTTATATTATAGCATAAAAAGAGAAAAAAATATTGTAATACATAAGAGAAATAATATTTATAATAAGGAGATAGAATCTATTTGTATAGGGTTCTTCCATCAAAACAAATACAGATTAAATAAATAAGTGTTCTTCCGTTTATCATTTTTAGTTGGAGAATATTAGTCGTGTTATTTGCTGACATTTAAATTAAAATAGCTTTCCTCAAAACTACTTACATCATACTTTGTTAATTCTATAAATCATAAAATGCTGCTTCAACTTATCGAAAACTTGCAATAATAATACATGGAGAAAACGTCATTAGTGAACGACAGCGGTTAAGTCATTAAGAAACACCAAATATTTTTTCAAAAAATATTTGGAGGCGCCGGGCATCGATCCCGGTACCTCTCGCATGCTAAGCGAGCGCTCTACCATCTGAGCTACGCCCCCTGGTGATCGATAATTCAGATATATCAGTTTTTATTATGTTTTCAATTAACATAATTTAATAATAATTTCGTGTAATGACAAATTATTATTAACATGGTGTATTAATATTATAATATTAACAGTGGTGTGTATAAATACATTAGTGTACTAATTTAATTGAATATTAAATTGCTACTAATAGGAAGAGTACTCAAATATTAATAAACAGAGTCTGTAATAAAAATAAATAAAAGGTCAATATTTTTGGCTCAAATCGTTTCAAAACACTCAGAGGATCCCACCGAATCATTCAAGCCACCAAACTTAAAAATCGATCCAGCCGTTCGCTCAAAAGCGTTACATAGCTTTTAGCGTAACCCAAATACATAACCTTATTGTCGCTTAGTCGTGTAAAAATCATGCAGAAAAATAAGCACTAAAAGAAAAAAAAGTATGTAACAAAAAAATCAAAATATAAAATAAATTTATTATATCAGAATCTCAATATTTAATAAAACAAGGATCGTCGACTTATGAAATATGAAATATATATATATATTTGAAAACTTAACATAAAAAACTTTTTAAGAACTAAAATATCGATATAATAAAATCTTACAATTCTTAAAAGTTATGAAACATAAATGGATATCAAAATAAATACACAATAACAAATAAGAAACAGTTAATAAGAAAGTGTATAAATAATAAGTAAGCAATGGATAAAAACGTTTTCAAAAAAACAGCTAAGATTGTACTTTTTAAAAATAATAGTCAACATAAAAATTTAAATGAATTTGTCAACGATATGTTCTGCAATAGTATTAATCACTTATTTCAAATTTGTTTCGGTGAAAATTGATCTTAAATTAACATATGTTTTATCGCCCTGTAAACCAAAAAAAAACAAAAAAACATATGTGATGGAAAATTAAAATTAACGGGTTGTAATTTTCATTTGAATGTTGTTATAAATTAACAATAGTTGCTTAATAACCAACATTTCAATATTTTTTAAATATATATAGTTTTGCTATTTTAATAATATAATTGTAAATATTATTAGGCTTGTAAAGAAAGTAATCAACAAAATGAAATGGAAGTAGTGTGTTGGAAGTAAAAAAATAAATCTATATTCTAAGAAAACATTCACCAGGTCATCACCCAAGTAACGTCGGTAGATAATTGCTTGATATAAGGGATAGGATAAAATCAATGGAACACATCCAATCTGAAATGAATATGGCAGCGTATTCTATAAAAGTTTACTATCTTGAAACCAAATTCTGTTATATCTTTTCTGAAAAAAAAAATTGGTTTTGAATCAAAGAAAGACAACTCTTCCGTTTTCACTTCATCGACTGGATTCATGTTCCTGCCGCTTTATGAGGTTTGGAGACTGCGAAAAAGGTGACAATCTGAAGGTCCTAAGTAAGGAGAATATGGTGGGTGAGGAATAATTTGCCATCCAAAGTTCTTTCATCTATTCAATGTTTGTTTTGCAACACGGGACATGGCATTGTCATGGTGGATAAAATGCCTAGTCTATTTATAAGTGAAGGACGTTTTCCCTCAACTTCTGGCTTCAATCGAACCAGATAATCACAGTAGTGAAGTTAAGTGGTAGTTTAATGAGGATCAAATGATTCATGGTGAAGGATTCCTTTCGAATTTTCATTACTTTTTTTCGGACGAAAATCTTCCACTTCTGTTCTTGGTGTTTCTCCAGGACTTAACCACTGTCGTTCACTCCATCGTCGTTTCTCCATGTATTATTGCAAGTTTCCGATAAGTTGAAGCAGCATTTTATGATTTATGGAATAACCACAGCATGTTATAAGTAGTTTTTGAGGAAATACATTTTAATTTTAATTTCAGCAAATAACACAACTAGCATTCTCCAACAAAAAACGATAAACAGAGGAACATTTATTTATTTAATCTGTATTTGTTTTGATGGAAGAACCTTATGCAAATAGATTCTATCTCTATATTATAAACATTATTACTCTTATGTATTACTATATTTTTTCTCTTTTTATACTACAATATTAACAGTATCAAAAATCTTAAGGATTACTTACAAATTATATTTATTCAAAAGTCTAACAGTAAAATAATACCAATTATTAACGTTAATATAAAATCCAAAATTGCCAACAGAACACATAAACAACAACAACAAAAAATAAATGCATTTTATTTTTTAAATATTTAATAATAATATTTTTTTAAAAAATAATTTATTATTCGCATAAACAAAGAAACAACCAACTAAACAATCCGTTTAATATTTTAAGTACTTCATGCCGATATCCATTCTTTTTTTTTCTAAAGTACTCAGAAGACATTTTTCGAGGTTATCCTTCCAAATCTCTATAATTAGATGTAGTAGAGATGAAAAAATATAATTTTTTCGTATCTTCTATAGAGGTTGGCTTAAACATTTCCATCCCATTAAGATTTCAAATACCCTGGTAAATTCTTATTCTCAAATAGTTATATGTTGGGCATTTGTATAATATTTATGTCTCTATTTTCATGGTGTTTTGCAGTTTGCACTTAAGTTGTGGATTGATTTTTATATTTTATTGTTCCGAGAGATGAATCTGCATTAACACTCTAATATATTTGAAGTTAGCCGGCATCATCAGATACTGGAAGATCCTACCATTGTTAAAAGAAAAGGTGCAAATGTTTATTGTAAGCTGAGCTACGCAATGTTTTCTTGCCACCCTCCTGCAAATTTCATTTATATTTATTTAATATCCTGTCAATATTAGCTCTAATTATTAATCCTCTATAGTATAAATAGAAGAGTATGTATTGCTTTAATAAACTAAATTTTTAAAAACGATTTAATTGTAAAGAGTAATATCAACATAAACAAACAAATATATAAAAACCGACATTACTTATGAATGACCTCATACTTATTGAAATCGGATTGATTTCATTGATTTGATAACTGAAATCATGAAAACATACAGTTACATGGATTAATCGTGAAATAGTAAAAAAAATATACAAAATTAAATTTGGCAATTAGTAATTCATAAAGATATTTGGCCAGATTTTTAGATATTGCCATCAAACAAAATATGCAATAGCATACAAATCCAACCTCTAAAATAAATATTAATTAATACTATAGAACTAATATTATGGAAGTATACAAAATATTAAAATGAAGAACGAGAAAAAATATGATATATTTTTTATTCAATCAGGCGGGTGAAGTGGAAAGGGAAAATAAGAACAGCTATGATAAATGTATCCCTTCCCTAATAGAGAAATTCCGTGAAAACTTCGGAGAGAGAGAGTTCACCGAGAGAGGCCTCTGGTTTGGGTCTCGCGGAACAATTCCAAACAAGAAAGAACAAGGAGCTTCCTCGAGGAACTAAGTGTCGACATTAAGGACGTAGCGAGGTTGGCTGAAAATATAGTCCTCGACTCCCTGGGAATCATTCACCAACACATGCATGGCTAGGCTGAGAGTTTTAATTTATGTATTTAATGAAAAATGTCTAATATATTTGGTTTTTATTAAATTTTATTTAATTCTAGATATCTACACTCTTGTTTTTTGTTATTGTTGTATTATAATTTTAAGCATCTTAATATTGTGTATAGGAGAGATTTATAAAGAGGGATAAAGAGAGAGAAGTGAGAGAAAAGGAAATTAAATGTTAATAAAAAGGAAAAAAAAAAGCATGAACAATGAAAGGGAAAAAAATATATATATTTATTATACTCATATAAACTAACCACTTCTGTACATTTATATATAAGTTTAATTATTGTCCTACGGATTAACGAGTATGCTGTGTGTATAGCAACCCAATATAATTGGGCAGCAAGCTTTTATATTTTATATGAAAATAAAGTGTTTCCCTCTCTCTAAAATTAATTTTGAAATTCTGATTAATTATTTTCTCTTTAAATCCCAATTAATGCCCAAAGCCACCCTGGAACATTGAACAGCTCGCCTGAGGTATGAGGATCCCAAACTTGGACAGAGATTGATTGATCTCTTGTGATGTTTCCTAATGAGGTGAGGTTCGCTCAGAAGACTGAGTATACGCTCTAATATGGAAGCGAAGATGTAAAGAGAGCTACTCAATGTGCAATAACGTATTAGAAGATGATTATTATAATTTATAATATCACAATAATATTTTTGTGATAATTTTTCTTTCTACATAATTTCACTAATTAATTAATTACCATATATTAATGAAATTAAGTGAGGTACTGTCAGAATCCCTTTTTATTGCAACCTGTTTATTTTTTTTTACTTTGGGTTGTCCGCATTGTTTGGTGAATTGTCCGCTGTACTCTTTTTATCAAATTATTAACTTCCATCTGAAACTTCGTAAATTGCTTTGTCTAACCATAGCCAACAACTTTTTTATTTATCTCAGAGTTTGGGCGTTATAAATGTGGATATTTTTAAACTTTGTCTATCTTATGAGGTACTAAAAACCTATGAACATCAATTTGCGCTTATTACTTCAATCGGAAAATAATTTGACTGAGAAAATGAATGGCCAGCAATAATATTGGGCTGCTTGGATCTCCACCCCTAACATGACCAAATAAAAACGTTATAAAGGCTAAGTGGCTCAATATTTTTTTAGGCCACCTTTTTTTTTCACTTGCATTTATATTTGTCCATCTATATATGCGCCCATCTTACCTCCGTATCTTCTTCTTCTCCATGAGCACTCTGATCCCAAATCGCTCCTATTACCGTGCGAAGAATGTTTCTCTCAAATCTTCCAATATTTTTTTCTAGGCAGCTGGTTAGTGTCCAGGTCTCACAGCCATATTTCAGAACTGTCTTTAACATAGTATTGTTGCTATTTTTCTATATCATCCGGAATTTATAGCAGAGACCGAAAATTTAAAAAAAAAAAAAAAATGTATTATTTATGTGGAAAGTGTAGTTTTCTGAGAAAATTTTATAATAAATTCTACTTCTCCTGAAAATTTATTTTTATCAATCATTTTTGCATAAGCATTTCTCGTTCATAAAGGATTATTTCAGAGATAAAACCAGGAGAGAACTATTATTGGCTACTTAAATTACCTTTCACAGAGGGTCTGTGCAGCACTGTGGTAATCAACGGACAATATCATCTGTCAGTGCGTCCGAAGAGTGGCATTCCACTGGCTAATGGTATTCTCGTGCTGTGGCATTCCACTTTTAGCAGTCGCCGATTTCATAAATCAATCATACGTTGGTTAAGCATTTTAAATGGAAGTTTCTGAATTAGATATCTATCTACTCAACTTTTATTTATGATAATGACAATAAGATTTGGAAAATTAGAAAAATAAGTCACCCTCAAATTTTGAACTATTCCTTGTTCTACCAGTTTCATCAATTACATCAAACTATTTTTTTTTTAATTCAAAATGTCAAGTTTATAGCATTCTTAAACAGATAGCGTCGTTTAAAATATCGTTAAATTTCCTATATAAAATTCCTAAATATCCAGTGTAACATAAAAATTACATTATCAGACCCAAATTTTCAAAAATAGAAGGCTAGTATATTAAAATTTAAACAGAAAACTATAAAATAAAAAAGACCATTCAAACTATTTTATTTACTTCTTTTTCAAAACGTTTAAACTAAAACTTATACAAATATAGAATATTACCTTTCAAAACAGTTTCTTTATTAATTTTTCAGTTCCTGTAGCTATCGGTGCTTCGCACCATATTCATCATTTTTTTTTTATCCATGCACTTTGATGTCGTTTTTACTATCTATCAATTCTTTTTCAACCGTGGACTTGAACCCGTATACTATATTCATAAATATAGTATTTGTTTATTTAATAAAAACGGTTTAGCCAATAAGATCCATTTACAAAATTACTAATATTTCAATACAAAACTTTACGACTGCTAATAAACCTTGTTACGTGATTAAAAAAATGTTATAATAAGTACCTACTGACTCACACCTGCCTACATGTATATGTTATAGATATATCATATAAGTACATTCTGTGTCCTTATATAATATAACCACTATCTGGGATTAATTGAAAATTACGTACTCTACAATTTTTCTAACCCTTTCATTTTGTTTTTGTTCTGTTGGCATTACTGATCATGTAGATCTTTTGCCGCCTTAACAAGCCTACTCCATCTCTGCCTACTTTTCCCTCCACTGGCCATAAATAACAGTCACGCGGCAGAGAGAATAGCGCTGAGATCTCTTAAAGTTCTGCTTTTCCCTCCTCAGGAATCAACTTTACAGAGTCAGAGTGTGGCCCAACAGGGTATCCCAACCCCAAGGTTGGCAGAGGTAACCCCACTTCATAGTAACCTACTCAGTGTTAAATAGGTTTGAATCATTCAAACGCCTTATATGTTAACCGGTTTACCAAGGCTATTATACGATAATAAAGTTGTCTTCTTATACAGCTGCATACATTAAGTTCATAGATATTTTCCACTTGAGTATATTTTCTTCATGAAGTAACTATATCTGCTGGAGTAGCGAAAAAGTGCCGACCAGCCACTACTGAAAAGAGGTAAATACAATTAGCAGTGAAGTCCATAACGAGGCATGAAATGTGTTATTTGTTTTGATAATGAGAGACCTAGAGATAACGAGTTAAGAGAAGTCCGGAGTAGCCTGGCTCGAGACGAAGAAGGCTTCTTTAATGAATGCCATGCGTTTCAACCTCTTGGTGAAGTAATGATGGCGGAATTGTTTCCCTTAGTCAGGGTTCTGCTTTTATACGTTTTTTACTTCCCCGCCTACCCCGCCTCCGTCTTGTTTGCCAATAAAGCATTTCATTTTCTTATTATTTATGAAGCTTCGCTGAGTTCTGCTTAATACGCCGGTTTCGTCTGCTCTTTTCCATTTCAGCGAGGAATACGTAGCAATAATCAGAGAAGCATTCCGTATAATCTCGAAGAAGGGAGATATCCGTTTGATGTTGAAATAACATTAAAGGCCCATTCAGCCGAGAATTTCATGACGGTAATGTAGATAGAGTTGCCATCCTTAAAGGAAAAGAAAGTACATAAAATCTTTTTTATTTATTTATTCATAAATTATTATTATTAATAATCATTTTTAGATGTATAGAGGTTTCACATGCTTTTGCGGAATGTACAAAAACGAAAATTAATTATGATTTAAGATGTATAGATTTTCACCCCAAAAATCATTTCAAGATAGTTTTTAACGAATTCTGTCGAATCGTAGTTGACCTTTCTTTATAAATTTCATATTTACAAAATGAGAAACAAATCAAAATATTTTATTATAACTAAAAATTAAATGTACTTAAGATAACATAATCCATAACCAAAAATGCTTTTTTTTAATATATTATTTTTAATTTTAATTGGAATAGTTTGTTTGGATGGAAATAATTTTCAATTGTAATTTAAATGTATTAGTGATATGTATTACTTATATATTCCTTCTCTAAGAAAAGGCACATTCTTCACACAATATATGAACCTATTGTTATCAACAAAAAAATGATATGTTTACATAGTAATGGAATAATATGATATAAGAGCTATGTCCAGGCGGGAGGTGGTGAGATTAAGTTTTAACCCTGTTGTAATCCCAAATTATATTACTTTTTGACCGTTTTATCACATATTTTTATCTTTTTTTTTCTCGAAAATTGTGAAGATGAGCCTTGTTGAAGGAATTTTTTCGAATTAATTTTATAATATTGTCGAGTACATTACAGTTTTTTTTGTTCACCTACACAAAAAATATTTTTTTTAAATAACCGTTTTCGTTGTAACACATTTCAAGACGATTTTTCATAAACATTAATATCGAAGACATTCATATCACACCTAACCGATATGGGATGAAAAACTACAAAAACATTTCTCTAAATTGAGTTTAGATTAAAAATTCTTATAGATTGGTCAACAAGTGGGGTGTTCCATCAAATCCAGAATTAGAGAAAATTTTAAATAGACCATATCAATGTGATAAAATTAAGACAAAACAAATAAGTGGATTACTAATACACTTTTTTTTCTTTCTCTTTGTTTTTATTTTCTTTCTTTTCTTCTCAAGATAATTATTTGTATTCTCAAGGTGACATTTTTGTCTTTTGTTGTGTGTATATTTTTAATGTTGAGAGTTTAGTGTATATAGGTATGTATGTTTTTTTTTTTTTTTTTTTCTAAAATTTACTTATCTTTAAGTTATTTTATTCTATTTATTGTATATACTTTTTGATTATTATTTAGTTATTTTGTTTCAGTTTTTTTTTCTTGTACATATTGTGTGAATGTTATCTTACCTCCCTATAAACAATCTTCATATGACTGTTTGAAATTTATAAATGTTTTTGACTAGTAATATTTTTTTTTTTAATTGTATATATTTGTTATTCTTAACGGACTTAATCCCAGAATAGAGTTTGTTTTCTATTCTAATCAGTTTAATACCAGTAATGCGGCTGAGTGAGAGACGCTGGGATCTCCTAGATTCCTGCCTTTCCTTACACGAGTGTGGGGAAAGTCTTGGCTCGGAGATCTTGAGTGAATTAATTTCCTAAATATTGTATATAAGCATGTGTGTATTTAAGTATTTATTTTGATTAGTTTAGTTTCTTTGTGTTTAGTTTAATTTCTTTTAGTTTATATACATTTACTTTTAGCAGTATTATTTTGTTGTTTATTTATTGTACATAGTGTGAATGTGCTACTCTTTTATCACTATTACTATTGCCCTTAGATGTGACGGATTGTAATATATCTCAATAAAGAATTTTAGAAAAAAAAAATCTATTCAGTTTATATCTTTTTATGCTCAGGATAATGTATTATTGAACTTATGCTTAAAACTTTCTGCCATTTGTCCTTATTACACGATTTTATCACAAAATACAATTATTTATAGTATATTTTAGACAAAACAGTGCCTATTATGTGGCAAGCTTTAATTTTTTATTGTATAATAAAATTTTGAATAATATTTGCTTGACGATATTGAGATAAATTATTTGAAAGTAAGCATTACTAATAACACATTTTAATTTAAATTAAGAAAAATAATCTTAAATAAAAAAACTTATATTCTTCTTGAGCTGACGCCTAAAAATAAAATTATTCACAATCTTCTGGAACACCCTCCAATCCCACCCGGCAGTTCACAATTGTACTAATACCAGGCTCTAAGCCTCTTTATAACTTATAAAGGGGGGGGGAAATCTTTCGTGAGGTTTATCTCTTTTTGAATACTTTTTTTTTTTATAAATTTATTCCGGATTTTATTTGCCGAAATTGAATGTTGTGTTCATGATATAATCTAGGGAAAACTTTTCTAACTTTCTTCGAGGCCGTCTTGATTGGAAGGCCCAAGTTATTTACATACCGCACAACATGCTTCTCTGTTAAAGTTCTTCGCAACTTTCAAAAGGATTTCAGAGTTGCCTTTCCTGTTACAAAAACGAATCTTTAAATTGCTCTGTAGACAGTGCTATGTCTACAGTGTGGTAACGATTTTATACAAACGTGATAAAGGTTCTCGAAACATTTCAATATCTATAAATGTGTTTTCTGAATTTATAAAATAGCCTGGAAACTTCAATATCCTTCAAAATTGACTTAAATATTCTATCTTTCGTCTTACAATGAAAATGTAAAATCGTTTATCAACTGAAATGAAAAAAAAATTATTAAGAAATATTACAATCTGCTTCAATTAAGGATAATAGAGCACACTACATTTACAGAAAATATAAATAAATGAATTCAGTAATTACAATATAATACATACAAATAAAATTTTAAAAATACTATAAAGATTATTTATTACTGATTTATCATAGACACGTAATA